GACTCGAGCTCGACTCGCTAGCCAAATTTCGAGCTCAGAAGGTTAGCTCAAGCTCGGCCCGTTCCACTGAAAATGGCTAGTCGAGCGGCTCGATTACTTGGTTCGAGCTCCGATTTCATTATTGCAGCCTGCCCCAAATTCTGCCCCAAGACTTCGTCTTCCGCATTAAAGCTCGTATTTGAACCTGTCCGCCTTGTGATTCCGCTGTTTGAGCCCGCCTGACCTGTGATTTAGCCGTTCGAGCTTGCCCGTCTAGCGATTTGACCATTCGAGCCCGCGTTCGAGCCCTTCCCTCAGTTCTGTCGTACAGATTCAAGCTGCTCGACATAAGAGTGTCAATATTTGACCCGACCCAAAACCTGACCTGAAAATTTTGTGTTTGGGTTGACTCGTTTGCTAGATTGGTCGAGTTCGAGCTGACCCAAAAATTCGAAATCAACCTGGGTTGACCCGAAAACCAACCTACACCACACTACTGCAACGCGATCCCTTGCTCCGGAGTTTGGACTCTGCAACCTTTATACTAATTTGTAGTATATAAAAAAGCAACCTTTTTATATAATTATGGTAGTATGTTTATTTAATTGTGGTGAGAATTATTTTCATATTAAATATGTTTGATTTTAGTATTTGTTGGCTGAGTTTATTGGATATGTATATAAAGATGTATGTTTTAAAAATGTGAAGCTTCATGAAAAAAATGAAAAGGAAAATGAGATAAGTTATATATGGGGGATATGCTCACACAGGTAAAGGCAAAATACCTGATGAGGTAAGCTTTAGGGACCGTATAGGAGGTACCTGACTCTCTCACTTTTAAATATTGAGAATTTAGACTCAATCTTGAATGAGAGAGCTCTCACTTCTAAAAGTTGAGAATTCAGACTCAACTTTGAAGGAGAGAGCTGTAAGTGTACAAAAGCCTATAGTCATCATATGATTTGCCTAAAATAATGAATAATAAAATGGCCAAGGAATGTGTGGAAGGTTAAAGAATATTTATAGTGATTGATATGGTTATGCATTAGTTATTTATAAAATTTTATGATTCATACAGAAATTCAAATATCATTTACAATTGAATTCAAAATTCTATGTTTCTTATTTCTTATACTATGGTTGTGTATTTCATTGAGTTTTAGCTCATTAACAGTGGTTGTATTACAGGAAAGTGGAATGAGCTAGTGGGGTTTTAGGCAGGAGGTTGATTGTACTTTTGTGTACCTACGTTTTGGTTGTGTATAGAAGCCAACGTAGAAATCTGTACAGTCAAATTTTTGAGTATGTAAATGGCATTCGAAAGTTTAATAAGCTATGTATTTTATTTAATGTGTTTTAAATATGCTTCTAAATATTAAATATTGATTCCAATTATGCATTAGTGAAATAAGAGTTTAAGACTTGAAAAAGTTGATGTGTTGGAATAGTCTAAAACTATGAATAGGCTATTTCTTACTCACTTGATTTTAATAGAAGTATTTCAGGATGGGTATTAGTAAAAGATGTGTTTCTCCAAATTCTCCTTCTCTGTTACATGATAGGAAATACTTGAGTTCGCAAGTAATCCAAGAGGAGATACTTGAGTTCGCAAGCAACCCTAGCAATAATTGGTCAAAACAGTGAGAAAAACAAGAAAATTTGGAGGAAATCAATCTAAAAACGGTAGATTGCAATAGTAGAATCAAAGCAAAACAAACTCCAAGCAAGATGCAATTGATCCTCAATTCGAGAGGAGGATCGTCTCTCCCAATCTCTATATTGTGGATCTAGAGCCCAAGACACCAAGAAGGCTCCAAGAGAGCAACTCCAAATCATGCATGCTCTAACCCTAGCCTCTCATGTTCTTTAAATACAATTCTTCCTATTAAAAAGCTTCCTAATATAAATTAATATTCAAAATTCCCTCCTCATGCTTAAACTACCCTCTCTCTCTCTCTCTCTCTCTCTCTCTCTCTCTCTCTCTCTTATTGCTGCCCAAGGAGGTGGGACCCGCATGCTTAGGCAGTGGGATTTAGAGGAGGCGGCTTAGCCCGCCTCCTATAGATCTGAACCGGCCCCTCCTTGGCCGGTTTGGGTTGAACCGTAACATTACACTCCATATTGACTAACAGTGAGTCAAAATGTGGTGTGACACATAAAACGGTTGCCTTCTGATGACCCGGTTAGAAAAAGTAGATGTATTATATTTGACTTATGTTAAGAAAGATATTAACAGGATATAATAAAGAAAAAAGATTTATGTAGCTGATCTCACGTAGTGGAATAAAAGCTTGATATTATTGTTGTTGTTGTATATGTGAGTATAGAAGGTGAGAAAAGAGTTATGTTCCTAAATATATTAGTCATACCTTAGACTGACTTAAACATTTGAGTTGATGGGTTTCTTACCCTTCCGGTCATTGGTTATGGTGGGAGCTTGCCCACAGTTTAATGAAGAAAATTGGGGTAAAGGAATTGGTAGATCCATTTGTATTTTGGCTTAGCCTCTCTCATTCCATCCCCTAACATGAATTAATTTAAATAATCAAGTCAGGGAAGGGTCATTGGAAGCATTTATCTTTGATTATATTTCAAATATATTAATGGTAAATATCTAAAGCTTTGCTAAGTTGACTTTTTCTTGAAGCTTAAGGAACTAAAGCGGGAGTGGGAATTACTAATGATTTTTTTAGCTTAACAGGAATGAAAAAAACAAAAAACGTGATGACAAGTTAAACACCAAGTTCTTTGTTCTTTTAAGCTTCTAGATCACATCTTATCTGTATCCAAGCACATCAAAAGATGCTTCTCCAAGACTAAACTTGTCAAAAATAAAAGAAAAAAGAAAAATATTGAAAAAAACCGTCTAATTGGATTACTTTGACAATGCTCTAATAATTTGAAGTATGGCCTCATTTTTGGAAGTTCCATGGGTGCCCCAACCTCAAACATAAAAAAAATTCTTTATTAAAATCAAGTCGAGCATATCGTTATCGACCCGGATGTATTGCATATTGGAACAGAGTTTAATTACCCGAAGTCTCCACCTATGGCTTAAAAAATGTCTCCTTCAAATATGTATTACTAAGTACCATTTGATTGACACCTGTATCTCGTGAAGATGATTGCGAAGGTGGTAGCACATTTTGGGGAGGATGGGTATAGAGTAATGGAATTAGGGCTACTAACGAACTGAACCGAGCTGAGATTCACCCTGTTCGAGTTCAAGTTTATTTGTCAAAACAATGCTCAAGCTCTGTTTGAAGCTCGTCGAGCTTCTTAAACAGCCGTTCGAGCTCGTTTAAAACTCCGTTGTTTGAGTTCGGCTCGTGTTTGGTTTGAGCTCGTTTAACCTTCAAGCTTATCGAGCCTCTAATCGAGTGGCTCATTAAGGCGCAGAGCCAACCTCAAACATAAAAAAAATTCTTTATTAAAATCAAGTCGAGCATATCGTTATCGACCCGGATGTATTGTTAGACTTGGATGATAATGCCAATTTTTGCTTATTTAAATATATTTTATTTCCAATTATTATTTAGGTAAATGCTGCTCGGTGTATGGTAGAATTTAGAAATTAGAAAACGTTTAATGTTTTATATTGTTCATCCTTATTGATTATTTGACTACGGAAAATGTAATAAGGTGATATTCAGCTTTTCTTACGAGTCATGAGCTCTTCGCGTGATTGATGTCTAGCTATAAAACTGTCATCTCTTTGATTTCACACTTTCTGTTTCTTCAACGGCTGTTATTGGCTTATTGTTAACAGGTATTATTTAAAGATGGAATGTTCCAATGGAAAAGGCTTGAAAATCTGATAACCTTGGCGAAGGAAAATGTGAATAAGATGAATCGTAATCCTGCATTGCAAGCTAAAAACACGTTCGTGACTTATTTTCCTTGTACACCTTTAGTGGCAATTTATCTGATGTACCTCAAAATGTTGCTTAGGCTAACTTTTCTTCCAGGCAAAGGTCAAGGAGTTGGCAAGTTGAGAAAAAGTTGGACCTCACAGACACAATCAAGGATGGAGCAAAGATGTTTCTAGTCGATGCAGGGATTCGAAGACAACTTATTTTAGCCCTCACGGAGGATTCCAAGCTTCATATTCAAGAGGTGCGCAGTCAATTGATGAAAGTAACCTCCACCAATATTGTTGTTATATGAATGCTTAGAACACGTCATTATTTCCTAGCATTCTGAGTACAATTTTCACTTTCACAAGAAACAAAAGCAGTTAGAAGAAGTCCGTGGATTAACTAAGCTAATCATATTTGAAAATTCAACTACGTCCCGCCATGCTTTCAGCCGTCATGAGTATTGATTGTGCAAGGTTGCTTGTAAAATAAAAAGTGCCCTCCTAGCTTCCCTTAGCGGGATCCCAACTTCCCTTCGCGGGGAGGGGATGGCGGGAGGCTATCGAATTTTCAATAAAAATAGAAAAATTGCATTTTTTTTAAATTAAATCATATTTAATTAATAGGTACCACGAGTAGATTGGAGACTTGAAGAACTATGTCGGGACCAACTGTCTTGAAGCCCTTGGCCGTCGAATTCTGATTTGGCCGGGCAGATTTGTAAGGCAAGTGCCTCTCAACCTCCCTTCGCGGGGAGAGGATGCCGATAGGTTGTCGAAATTTTGAATGACCGAGAACCGCCACATAATTATGATTATGATTGAATGATATATAAAAGCTCTCTTAAAACTCAAATTTAAATAATGTATTTCATCAATCAAAGCTAACTAGTATATGTTAAATATCATCATGATTTTCTAGGAGAAGGTGATAGTTTGACTGCCTTGAACCTGCTGAAAAATATTTTTAATGATAGAAAGAATCTGCATTGTATGAAAGCGCTCTTACTGCCTTCTAAAATTTGTAGGGAGATCAGTGCTTATGCAGAAGGTGCATCTTTCTCAAATATAACACTTGTTAATTTAGATGGCAGGACGAGGCTCTTGAAGTGCTTGAAAAAGCTGAGAAATTTATTCAAGCAAAAGACTATAGAGTAATATATCACCTCAGCTTAGAAAATGCTGAAACAGAGGGATTTGGATGTAACACTTTGTTATGCCAAGCAATTGTTGAACTTGGACACACTAAAGAATAGTAGATTGACGAAAAAGGACACCATTAAACTTCCTAAAGATGCTACAATTCATCTATGAGTAGGAGCAGAGGATTGGTAGTGCACACAACTAGCTTGTAGGCAGCAATAAAAGATTCATAGCAAATGTGATCTAACTAACTTAAAAAGCAAGAAAATGATCTCTTAGTGTCTATTGAACAAACATTCCCTACAAGTTATGCTGAATGATATGATAACTTGAAAAAGACAAAATGAATTAAACAACATATTTTTTATGTATTATAATTGAAACATAATTTATCTTCAACGGTCTGAGAATGCTACGTAGGTCAAATATTCAAATTTTCATTCTCCTCCTTAAAATGACTGGAGTTGACCTGACTTTGATTAGCAAACGAACGCCTAATCACAAATCTACTATAACCCTTCAAAGGCTCTCTAAATGAAAGTCATTATAAAACATAAGCTTTCAGTTATTGCATTCGCATAATCATCAATTGTTAAATCAGATCCTCTGTTAGTGGGCAAACAAACTTGACAGGGTTCAAATAACTAATTATCTAAATTCCCATGATGATCGTGTTGATAGGAAAGCTCAACTGAAGGGGATCCCATATTTTTAAGATGCTTCCTAAACTCTCATGAAAATACAAATATTTTAAAAGTGACTTTAATGTCACCCTAATGATGGTCATTTTGAAAGGGAATCTCAACCGAAGGGGTCAATGTTCAAATTCCTATTGAAATTTCAAAATCTAAGATCTGTTAAATTGTAAATATTGAAATAAAAATTTGATCACCAAAAATTTAAAATTAAAATCCATCCATCTCCTGCAACCATTTGTCGGGCGAGATAAATTTGAAACTAACTTCAGCTCATAAAGAGCTAATGTTATGTTAGATGTATTATTAAGATTCATTCTCAAATAATCTCTTGCCAACATGGATGTGGCAGCCTTCTGATTGTGTGATTTTGCTGCAAAATGGCATCGCCATATTACAATCACGGCCAAAGCTCGTATGTTCCCTAATGGTTTTAAGTCCTTTGAGTAATGAATCATAGGATGTACTCGATAGGCATAGATCCTTTTTTGTCAATAAGGGTGGACTCAAATGTATCCCCTTCCCCTTAGATAAGCATCCACCCCAACGAAGCAACCCATGGCTGCTGACAAGGTTCCTTCTGTTAGGTTTGGTCGACTGCCTCCTCTAATTAAGTAGACTAGGGATTATGACAGCCCGAGCTAACGGAACTATGAGATCTTGATTGGGCCCGTCAATATTCTCTCATCACCTATTTTAAGTATATGATGATAAATTTCAAATGATAAACACCAAAATTCAATATCAAATTCAAACCCTAAAATTGATTCTACTATATGCTGGGTACTTAGTGTCTATCTAACGACTAGCCTTAATCGAAAGTTCTCTCTCATTGTCGGTAGGGTTAATTAATCATAGGAGATTGCGCCTATAGAAAACCATAACTTATATCATAAAGTCTTCGCAAAATGAGAGTAAAATCTCTGTGTAGTGTTGTATCTAAAAACTTAATCTGCCTTCTAAAAATTTACCCCGAAACTTAATCCGTTAAAACTCTTCCCAACAACACAAAAAAAAGGCGCAGGGAGGCCAAGGCGTGAAGTTTTGGAGCCCACAAAAAAAATGAAAGAGCCAAATAACAACAACAACAACAACATGCATTATCCCACTATATGTGGTCAGCTACATGAATCATTTTACTCCATTGTTTTCTATTATGAGTCAAATTATCATCTAAATCTAATAAAGAAATATCATTTATAATATTTTCTAACCAAATCTTTTTAGGTCTACCTCTACCTTTCATAAGATAAGTCAAATCTAATACATCTACTTTTCTAACTGGGTCATCGGAAGGCCGCCATTTTATGTGACCAAACCATCTAAGGCAACTCTCTCTAATCTTATCTTCCATTGGAGCTACTGCAACCTTTTTATGATTTTGTATCCTATCTCTAAGAGTAAAGCTACTCATCCACCCGAGCATCCTCATCTCTGCAATACTTAATATTTATGCTTCTCTTTCAATGGCCAACATTCTGCACCATAAAACATTGCAGGTCTTAATACCATCTTATAGAATTTTTCCTTAAGTTTGAGAGGGAATTTTCTATCACATCCATCCAACTTGAATTCTACTAATAATATCTCCATCTATTTCACCATCACTCTGAACAATTGACCCAAGATATATAAAATGTGTACTCTTATTAATGACTTGATCGCCCATAGTCATAATTCCCCCACTAGATCTATTATTACTAAATTATACTCCATATATTCAATTTTAGATCTACTCAAACAAAAGTCTTTAGACTATGATGTCTACTTCCCAATTTCTATTAGTATAATTTCCACTGATGATGATGAAGAAGTTTTTACAAGATAATTTTACAATCTCACTCACTCGATGTTTAATCTCTCCGTTATAAAATTCTAATATTGATGTCCCCTTTTATTACAAAAAATCAAGACACCCGAAATTACCATATTAAAACCCCAAAACATCCTTAATAAAATAACTTTTGAATCTCTGCAAGTTGTTTTTTTTAAGACATTAATCCACTCCACAAATCAACAAAATTTCTTCATGACATCAACATTTCTATTCATGTTGTTGCATCGTTTGTACTGTTGTCAATCATGACATAATATATTGATAACTGCCATTTTAAACTTATATTCTGTGGATCTTTGCTCAGCTTGTCGATATCTATAGATTGGTGGAAGATGATGTAGACATACCATCTGTTGCTTTCGAGGTTCTTCAAGGTAAGTTCTTTCAACAAGTATAAAACTTCAAATAATCACAATCTCAACTACAAACTAGTAAATAGAGCTGCATAGATTTAGCACTTCCTCTCTAGTTCCAGGAAACCACCTTAGCCTTTTTCTACTCTCCTCTTTTATTTTGTCGCAGACTTGCCTTCATTTACCCGTGAGTTCTTGCTGTCATGGAGTGATTCTGTGCTATCCAATCGCTGAAGAGTATCAGGTGATGATAAACAGAACAGCTTGTTTTTATATTCAACTCACAGAACTTGATATTTAGGCTTCGTTTGGGATGGCTTTCTTACTACTTAAAGCAATTTTTAGTATAAAAATTTTAATTTTATACTAGAAAGTTGCTTTAAGAAGCAGTAAGAAAGTCGTCCGAAACAAAACCTTAGATTCATCCATACCATTTTTTTTTTTTTTTTTTTTTTTAATTTTTAGTTTTTTGTAATGATAAGATAAGCAGCTTATAGAAGAAGGCTTGTAAATTGCAAAAGTGACACCTCTTCTTTAAGAGATATAATAAGTGGAAGCTTTTGTTTGATATGTAAAGTTGTAAAGTCTGAAGAATATGTTGCAGCCACTGACATGTAAAGGGCTGATGTTTTAAACCATATCCATTATATTGCATTTTGTTTCTCCTTTTCTGACTAGGGATTGAGACTAGTTCTTTCTTTGTTTGACACTGATTTTTGTAATTTTGTCATATAACTACATCTGATTTAATTAGATTTGTTTTTTGGTTGGCATGGTGGGATTCCATGTGGGATGGAGAAGAATGATCATTACCCTCATTCAAATGGCATCAAATTAAATGTTTAAATATGTGTGCTTATGATATTTTGAATAATTTATTAGTTTTGATTAGTAGACTACATGGGTTAAAGTGTGCATTTTTTCTTTACGAAGCTTAGGCTTCATTTGGGACTGTTTGTTTGAACTGTTTTCTTGATGCTTCTTAAAATTACTTTTTCTTATAAAAATTTAGTTTTTGTACGAAAAAACAGTTTTAAGAAGCAGCAAGAAAGTCGTCTCAAATGAAGGCTTTGTTTGGGACGGCTTTCTTACTGCTTCTTAAAGCAATTTCTTAGTGCAAAATTTTAATTTTTGCATTAGAACGCTACTTGAAAAAACATTAAGAAAGCCGTCTCAAATGAAACCGAAGCCTTGGTTCACAAGTAATCTTCATACAATAATGAAAACAAATAAGTTTTGCAAAGAATACAAGATTCATGTAGACTATACTAACCTATTGATTATGAGCGTAGTTTTCCATCCAAGAGATTTTGGGTTCGAAGTTTCATATATGATGTGTGTTTATGATTTAATTTGTTTTGTATTTTGTTAATATTCATTTGTTGGCCCATCCTGACCTCTATTGGTTGAGTTCAGTTTTCGATCAGGATATTTTGGCTTTGTTTGAGACAATTTTTTAATTGCTTTTTAAAATATTTTTTTATATAAAAATTGTCCGTTTAAAAAAAAAATTGTACGAAAAAGCAGCAATAAAATTGTCCCAACAAAACAAAGTCTTCGGAATTGAAGTCTTCATATGTTATGCATGCTCTCTCTCTCTATTAGAAGCCATGTGCAGCACACTTGGATTCGAATGAATCAGGTTCAGCAATTCATGGCTTTAAAGTTTAAATTGAGAAGACAAAAAGGAGAAGAAACCAGAGAGCTTATGTGTAAAAGCTGAAATGACAAGAGCTTGTTATAGGCTTATAGCTCACAAAGAATGTGCCGCATTCAACCAAACATGTTACCTTAGTATATTTGATTAAACTTTATTATAATAAAATTTTCAAATTAAGCTTATAGATGAATTGAACATTTTGATGAGATGAACTTATAGTCACTAAAAGTGATACTATTCAAGTCAAAATGAGCTCCATCAAGCACTTAGACATGTAATTAAAATTTTTGGATATTAAGTTTAGGATTAAACGATATTAAAATATAGCGTGTTTATTGTCAAATTAAGTGTATCGATGATAGAAATCAGATAAACTCAAGATTGTTTAATTTTAACATAATTAAGATACTTAAATGGTGAAGGAATGATTAATGATTGAAAGAAACAGCATAGTATGTTTGATGAGTGTTCTAAATTTTAGTTATATTTATGAGAATGTCATTCTAAAAAATCTATAAATTAGATCTCACTCTCAACATGAAGGGGAAGAGGATATTGGCTTGAGATTTATGAGATTTTAAAAATCTAGGGGTTCTAATCGAGCACCAAAATTGGACCATTGTCTGACCGTTGCTCAACTATGGCAGTTTGATCACTATGGCTTGATTACAGTCCTCCAACTTTTGTAGCTCAATTATGGTCATCTAACTAGAGTCAACTGACTATGGACTTTTGACCAAGGTTGCCTAATTACAATCATTTGACCAATGTTGTCTTAATGTATTTTGCCAAACCCCATCGCTTGCAATGGTTCTCCACCAATTGTCTACATCACTCGACAACAGCACCCTGACCACCATCACTTGACTACAACCCTCGACCACCATCGTTTGACTATGGTCCTCTTACCATGGTCCTTCATCTACTATCACCCAACTACAGCTTATGGTCCTTTCGAGCACTATCGCCCTACTATGATCATATGTCCTCTATCAATCGACCACAATCCTCCGAGCCACGTCAGTTGACTATGATTCTTTGACAATCATTGATCGAGTATGGTCTTTCAACTAACCACCATCGTTCGACAATGAATCATCCGACCACCTTCACTTGGCTAACAATTTTACACATACTATCTCTTGTAAGATTGATGTTAGCACTGGGATTTATGCCAAACTTCTTAGTCTATGGTCTTGGGCTTGTTGGATTCGTCTCGTCGAGCCACTCGATTCGACTATAAGAATATCACATTTGGAAATCATTTAGTCGTCCAATATATGCTTTGAAGCTTCCAAACATGCTTTAGGCCCTCGATTTGGACCCATTTGGGGTCGGATTAGATCGAATTTGGTGTCATTGGGTTCATCTTTTCGAGATGTTCAGTTTGACTATAAGTTTGCTGAAATCAAAGTTAGGATTATCCCATAATTAACTTCAAAAATTTTCAATTCAACATTGCCTCGAGATTCTTGCCTAATCAAGATAATTTTTTGATAATATATCAAGCATGAACAATTAAGCATGTAAAATTCTCCTAAAAATAGCTCCCATCCTATCGTGCTCTTCCAACTCCAATCACATAATACATTCTATGCATTATACGGTTACTACCTTGAATCAATGCCTTCTCTTTAGAATACGGCATCATTTGCAATCAATAACAAACAATGATATAATCATTGCAATTGGACCAGGCCCCATAATTTTTTCTTTCATAAAAAATTTCTCACGTAAAAAACTCCGACATTTATTATAATTATTGTACCCTTCTCAATCTTCGTATAAAACTAAGACATCAATCTCAATCTACTATGAAAATATACTAAAAGTCAACATATCATAAATCCAACATTCCAAAATCTACATCTCAACATCACCATATTATTTTTTTATTTATTAAACTTCTTCTAATTATAGATTTTCTTTCTAACTAAATAAGCCTACCTTGTGACCAACCACTCATTTTGGTAGCCACCATAGCCTTAGTAATTCCACGTGCAATTGTTTCCTACTGACTATTGGATGTCATTTTCATGTGTCATCAACTTCGCGTTCCAATGTGTCATTGAGGATAAGTCTAATATGATCATAGACCTTTAGTAAGACTTAGTACTTATTTGACCATGCAAATATATATTTCTGATTTCATTTTTTTTTTTTAATTTTTTAATTTGGGAATATGCCTATCAAATTATAATTTATTAGAAAATATACCTTTGTAATTTTGATTATGTATGAGGAATGAAAGCACTCTAGGGGCGGAATCAGCCTTAATTTTTAAGGGGGTCTTAATTTTTAAGGGGGTAAACTTATAAGTAACTGTTGGTGTTGCCTCAAATTTGTCTCGACACTTCACTATAAGAAAATGGGTCAATAAAGACTCTTATTTGTTCATATCCTTGATAGTCGTAAGCTTCGTAGATATAGCGATGGTCCAAGTGGGCAGCTCCCACTGACAGCTCCCACTGTCTCAGCCTGAAGCTCTCAATCATTTAGGTTGAGTTTGGAATAATTTTCTTACTATTTTAGTACAAAAATTTGTTGGAAGTGGTGAAAAAGTAGTTGTCAAAAGTTGTTCCAAAAGAAGCAAAGGCTACTTTTAGGACAGCTTTCTCACTAAAATTGCTTTATAAAGCAGCAAAATCTTTTAAGTCTATGTGGGCCAGCTTTTTAATTATATTATTTTCTTCAAATTTGAACTATAATTTCTTTTGATTATTACTTTTTTTTTTTGCTTTAATCACACATATAATTGTCATAATTGATTCATTAATATCTTATTTATCAAATCTAAATATCACTATATTGTTCATAAATTATGGTAGCAATAAAAAAAAAATTAAAAAAAAGCTATAATACATTCATAGTTCTAAGGCTCTTAAAAATAACTATTTGGTCATCAATAAATAACAACCGTTTCAAAGAGACACATAAAATTAAAAGCTGTGAGAATGTATAGTAAGGATTTGGTCATGAATCATCCTCTTGTTTTGTCCCCATTAGCGTAGGATTCCACTTGTGATAATAGTTTTTTTTGGCTTTCCACAAGATTCTCTGTGGACCACCTTCATACACTAAATTTCTCTTCTTTGCCTAAAATTACAACCCGAATTAGAAACTTTGTATTGATCAGGGGTGTTAATATTTGACACGACATGAAAATTCGACCCGGAAAATCCGGGTTAGACCCGACCCGATTTCAAAACGGGTCGGGTTCGGGTTCCCTGATTCGATCCGTTTCAAAACGGGTTGGGTTCGGGTTCCCTGATTCGATCCGATCGGGCAACCCGCCGGGTCAACCCGAAAATCCTTTTAATTTAAAATTTTGGATTCCCGCCCGCTGCCCGCTACCCCCGCCCGCGCTGCCTGCTGCCCCCGCTCGCTGCACCGCGGGCCCGAGTGTCGCGTCCGCTAGTATTGATACATAACCAAAAAGCATATTGGTTGGGCTTAAATTTCGAGGCATATATGAATGGAAACTTTCAAACTTAAATTTAGGATCATTTGAATTCTGATTCCAACAAACTTATAGTTAAACTAATCGTTTCGACGAAACGAATCTAACGACACGAAAAATGGTACAATCCTAGTCCAACTAAGCTGAAATCAATGATATGAAGCATAGTTGGAAATCAATGATGCAAAACATAGCTGGAAACTTCAAAACATTGATTGGGTGATCTCCAAATTTTACATGCTTGTCGACGAATCGAGCAACTCGGCGAGACAAATCCAATGAGCCCAAAATAGCATGACTTTGATATCATTTTGGTACCCAAAAGCTGAAGAAATGGTCTATGATCACGTAGTAGATACATAGTTTGATCGAATGCAAATCAAACGTACTATTTTTATTTTAATGATATATTTCAAATATATTTAAATACAGTGGATGAAGGTTGAACAGAGGGGTAAGGATAAATTCTATGAATTCTTTGTTATAAAAAATGGTTGATTAGGATCTATGACACACTAAGAAATTAAAAGAAATGCATATTATGATTAATAAGCAATCCACATTACTTAGGAAAATTTGATAAGTTATTACTTAACTTCATTCTCCTATAGATAGGTTGTAATATTGAATTTTTCATTAAAACAAAGCATCAATCGCAATTAGCTTTATTAATCTACATTGAAAGTCGCCACTAATCCAAACATTAAGGTCAAGCTTAATAGATAATTAACATTGACAAAATGAGCCAAAGTGAGTCATTAACACGCGTCATCATCTTATTTAGCCCATGTGGTTCAATTCATTAGATTAATACTAGATTTGGAAATGTGCTTAAGCCTTAAATTCCATGGAGAAAAACAACAAGAAATTTGGACCAGAGCTTATGAATGGAATAAGAATTTGTAAGCGGAAGAACAACAGAGGATCAGAACTTCTTGCGCTCCCTGCTTGCTTTCATGTTTACACAAAGATGAAATCTTGTTGATTTAAGTTTCGTTTGGGACGGCTTTCTTACTGCTTCTTAAAGCAACTTTTTAGTATAAAATTTTTATTTTTTTACAAGAAATTAAGAAGCAGTAAGAAAGTTGTCACAAACGAAATCCTAATTTTCAATATAAGATTCTTGACACATTTGGTAGCTACACCATTACGTGATACTTCTCATACGAATAGTTGTTCCTGCCAATTGGGTGCTCAATCTCTCATTACACACTATTCGCCCTCTAACTCTATTTTCTTCCATATGCAATTGACAGTCGGCACGGCATGTCCCTTTGCAAATGCACCTTGTTCAAACCAGCACTATCATCAATGAATATTAAGCAATAAAAAAAATAAAATTTTAGAACGAGGATATCTACCCGCTGCCATTCTTATAAGAGGTGTTTGGCGGCGTAACATATCTCTCGATAAGCCTACCAACAACCAATCCCACAGATGCAGGACCAACGATCAAAATTTTGAAAGTTTAATCAATTAAAGTACTACAAATGAATTCATTGTGGGCAAGTGTCGTATCGCCCACAACCGCAATGATGCCCCAAAGGTCATTGCCCGTCCATCGGTCCGAATAAATATAAAGAAATTAATATATTTTATTTTATATTTCACTTACTCTTTTTCTTTCAAAATTTTGAAATAATTAAGATAAATTCATATACATAAATTGTTTCGAACCTAAAAACTTCTAGACCGGTGGCCAAAACGTCAAACCAAACGTTGGGCTTACTCATCAATACGAAAATAACGGTCATTTTTCTTGGATTTTGCTTCATCTTCCTACTCCTTTCGGTCTCCAAATCCCTCCCCTCTCTGTTGTCGTGAGGAGCTTTAAATTAGCTGCTACTTCAGAAATCACTGGCGGTGGGGCCAAAGAAAAGAAAAGAAATTGGCCCCCCCTCTCTCTCTCTCTCTCACTACTCGATCTACTATAAAAATCTCTTACTGCAACCAGTTTCCTCCCCTCTTCTTCGGTTTCTTGCTTCTTCGCTCAACTAATCTCAGGACGAAACAGAAATAGATACCCAATGGCGATTCCCATCTTCTTCGTGCTCCTTCCTCTACTCCTTTTCATGCTTCCAGGTAAATAAAAAAAACCATTTCTTGATTAAATCCCTCTCCCCTGTTTATCTTCTCCCTAACTCCCCTGTTTCTTCCCCGCAGAGCGCGCAATGCCGGCGACATTGTCCATGACCAACAACTGCCCCTTTCCAATTTGGCCGGGCCTACTCTCCGGCGCCGGCACGGCCCCTCTCCCTACCACCGGCTTCCTTCTTAACCCCGGCGAGTCTCGTCCAATCGAAGTCCCGTCATCCTGGTCAGGCCGTTTATGGGGCCGCACTCTCTGCTCCACCGATCCCTCCACCGGCCGTTTCTCCTGCGCCAGCGCCGACTGCGGCTCTGGCACCGTTGATTGCTCCGGCAGCGGAGCCTCTCCTCCGGCCACTCTCGCGGAGTTCACACTCAACGGAAGCGGCGGCATGGATTTTTTCGATGTCAGCCTCGTCGACGGCTATAACCTCCCCCTGCTCATCGTGCCGGAGGGCGGTGAGCCCGGCGGCCGCTGTGGACCCACCGGTTGCCTTGTCGATGTTAATGGACTTTGCCCGTCGGAGCTCCGGGTGGTTGCCGACGGCGAGGCGGTGGCTTGCCGGAGCGCTTGCGATGCTTTCGGCACGCCGGAGTATTGCTGTAGCGGGGAGTACGGTGGGCCCGGCACTTGTAAGCCGTCGATTTACTCTCAACTTTTTAAAAACGCTTGCCCTCGAGCGTATAGCTACGCGTATGATGATGCCACGTCGACGTTCACTTGTTCCGCCGGAACTAGTTATCTGATTACCTTCTGCCCCAGCACCACCAGGTACGTTAATCACCGCCTAAACTTTGATTAGTTTAATAATTAATTATTTAGTCTTATTGCTTACTAATTTTACAGTTTGAAGTCCTCGGGTTCGGGTCCGGGTTCGGGTTCGGGTTCGGGTAACAACCCGCAAGCGGTGGGGCTGCCGTTGATTAATGACACGATGGTGTTTCTCCAGGGGAGCTACTCGGCCGGCGAAATGGTGGTGCCGATGATGCCGGTGGTGGTGCTCGGGTTGTTGTGGGCAGTTTGGTGGCTTCTCTGATTTTTTTAGGTTCAATTTTTTTTTTCCTAATTTTTGTTTTCTTTAGGTATGTAAATATATTGACTTGAATAATATGGGCATAAATATCCCAATTTTTTCTATTAAATTTCCCAGTTTCATTTAAAAATTTTCATTCAAGGAATTATCTTCATTAAAATTTTAATTTATAAAAAAATATTTTATTAATGTCATATAATTTATTAAAGATGTTAAAATTATGTTAGATTATTTTGATTAGTTCATTATATGTTAATAGAATGTTATTTTAATGTAAGCTTAATTTATATAACCCGTCTTTGTTATCATCTTCAATGAATGCGGTTACTAACTGCTAACGATAGGGCACGTATGCCCACAAGCAATCCATTGATCGTTGGTGTCAGGATCCCGCATGCAGTGTAGCAGTGAAATTGTGAATAGTTTTGTGCTAGTATTCGCTCTGAAAAGTATGTATCGAACGGTGGAGTTGGACACTCGCATAGATTGATAGTATATGTGAGTTGAGGCAAAGGCTTTGGGCAACTTCCATTTCATATTTCTTGAGTAGGTGGTGTGGACTCCCAATGATAGCCATCGAGTGCTTTTTAAATGGCTAGCCCTAAGTAGAAATGGCTAGTTCCTATCGATTACCTAGGATTTAAATTTTTATTTTTGTTCAAGTGGTTTATCATATCAGTGGTTTTCTTTATAAAGAAGAGTGACTTGGGGCTTCTTCTTTATTTGAAGTTGGTGAGTATTCGAGGTAGGTGATGATTACTTGGACTAGGTTTATTTCGCTCATCATTCATGACAAGAGAGGTTACTAGTGCGAGACACGAGTTTTACGTGACTTGCTTGTCCAGTTTGAGAAATGGCATCAAGACATTCCAAAGTATGTCTTCTTATGTCAGCGGTGAAATGCCAAATTAAAGAAGTTTTAGAGGGAGAGAAGAGTTCTTAAGTCATGCTGAAGTGTTATTACTCAGCAATGCATAGGGGTAGGATGATGTAAATGGAACATAAATATGTATTTTCCTTTTTTATTTTCTTTTTGGGGAATACTTTGTAGTTAACATCATTCCTAAAAAAAGGACTTGTACACACACATAAACATACACACTCTTTTGTTGAATTTATTTATGTGCTCACTAGTCTGTCTGCTCGACAATGTTAGATATTTATTGAAGTGTGTCATATATTTCTTTTTATAATCTGTAGAGTAAAATGTGACTTCAACAAGTGCAAACTTTCCATCAACCCTAGGGCTTCAGCTCGATATTTATGTCTTCTATGATATAAGGGTCATGTTATTTGCATTCTTAATTTTGATCTTACAACTCCTTTTAGCTCCGATAATGTTATAAATAATAGTATATATCAATCAATGAAGTTCATAATGTAAAAATTAGTAGAAGATCTAAGTATTCATGGCTATATTTGATTTGATAATTATCATCTCTCTTATGACTTAGGATTCATTTGAGATGATTTTTTTATGCTTTCTAAATCAACTTTTTTATATAATAATTTTTAATTCAAAAACTTTTTATATTAGAAAATCATATTAAAATAATTATAAAAAAATTGTTGCAAATAAAGCATCAAAAGGAAGGAATCTTAAATATATAGTGTGAAGTACACATTTTTTACTAAACACATTTTATGAGAAATTTGAGATAACATGCATATATTATGGTATAATTAATTATCATATTTCATAAAAATAGCTAATAAATTATCTGCCTTCAAACAATTTAATATTCTAACAAAATTGCAAATTTAAATTTATATAATTTATGTAATTTCGAATTTAAATGAGGCATAATAAATAACCAATGGAGTTATGCATTACCAAATATAAAATTTACACTTGCTGCCACTTTTAATGTCAAATAGCCTATTTCGACATAGTGAATACGGGATCATAACAATTTTGATTTCATTTGAGATAATTTTCTTTATGTTTTCTAAAGCAATCTTTTAATACAAAAATATTTAGCTCAAATAAATTTTTAACTAAAAAACGACTTTATAAAGCAGCAAGAAAGCTGTTCCAAACAAAGCCTCTAGCTCAGGAGAAATTATTCTTTGCGAACGCCAGACGGGAAGAACCGTCCGGTTTTGTATCTGTGAACAGTAAAAACACAGCGTAAACAAGAAAAGCGCATTGAGCTGAGTTTTTATTATTTACAGAGACAAAATTGGACAATTCTTCAATCGGGTGTTCGCATAGAATAATTCATCCAAATTCAGCCTCTCGAAATAGAGGTGAATGGCATGTTTGTGATTTTTGAACAGTTTATAGGCAAATTATTTAACATTGGAGAAATATTTTGATGGTATAACACTCAAAATCATTAAATTATAATTTATGCTTACATTTCTCTTTCTCAAATAAATATAATATTTTCTTTTTTAAATTATTCTTACCAAATTAAAATCAGAATATTCCGATTTTTTTTTTATGAATATAGATTTTAAATATTTTTTATCATTAAAATTTCGTACAACTTATCATCACTCCTTCAGGAGGAAAGATAAACTATTTTTTACAAAAAAAGTAAAAAATTGAATAAGTTATCATAGCAATTTTTTCCCCTTAAAAGATACTTTATATTGAAAGCGGACGGCTTATCCTTCTAAGAGCAATGGAGATTGGAGAGATAAAAAGAATGCTGACCACTATGAAATTCTTCTATTGAAAAAGAATTAATTAAAATTGAAAAAAATTAAAAAAAAAATCTTCGCAAAGGTACAATTTTTAAAAATAATAATAATTGTTGCGTGCTAGAATATATGCGGCGGTAGAGTTTGTAAATTTGCGGCCTAGCGTTGTACGATTATTCAGCACACAAACAGAAAAGAGAAGTGAACACCAATGTTTTTACGTAAAAAACCCGAAAGAGGGAAAAAACCACTGGGCCTCGCCCAGTTGCAAAGTTCCACTAGTATTTGTTTCAAGTACAAAGGTTGATCCGTCTTACAAATCAAGACGATCAATTTACAATCAACTACTCACAAAGTTACAAAGTTCTGTGAATTCCCGACGTTTCCCGAAAATCCGGCAGAGTTCCGGCGTCTTCAGGCGGTGAGAAGAGCTTCAGCGGTGGTCGAGGAGGAGCTTCTTCCTTCTCCTCCTTCTCTTCTTCTTCTCTCTCTTCACTTGAGTCCCCCTTCTAAAGAATGAGGGCTCTATTTATAGTTTTTCTGTAGTGGCATGACTTGTAAATATGTGTGAGATCAGGGGCGAACAGGGAGTGCTTGAATGGACGGCTGATTTTGAATCATTTGATCATACACCGTTCGTCAGCCATTTGAAGGCCTTAGTGATGTCGGAATTTGGAGATCTTAGACTCGTTGGATTCGTCTCGTCGAGTCGTTCGATTCGACTATAAGCTCGCCAAAATCGGAGACCGTTTGGTAACTCAACAGCGCTTTAGGTCCTTGATTTGGACTCATTTGGGCTCGGATTGAGTCAAATTTGGTGTCGTTGGGTTCGTATTTCCGAGACGCTCAGTTTGACTGTAAGTTTTCTCAAATCGGAGTTCAGGTGCTTCCAAATTTAATTTTTAAAGTTTCCAACTAGCTTTTTGTCTCGAGATTCGTGCCCGATCAAAATAATTTTTGCATGACGTATCAATAATAAATGTTGTTTGTTTCTTAGTTGTTTCCTTCTATATTTATCGATTTAATTTTTTATATTTTGATATAACTAATAAGTTATATCATAAATATTTATATTAAAGTTTCTATAATTTATTTGATGGTCTTCAAATATGGTGAGTAAGCTCCAATTAAGGAAGTTTTCAAAATTAAAAAAAAAAAACAAGACTAAGAATATATTTGGGACGATTATAATTTTTTTATAAAAATAGTTCATAATTGTAACATTATTATAAGGAAAATAATATTTTAAAAGTTGCTATTAAAAACAACGGTATGCCACATAAGTTTTTTAAAAGTAGAAAAAAAAAATAGTAGTCAAATAAAAAATATGATTAAGATCTGAAAAATAAAATAGTAAGTTGTCCCAAACATAATCTAAGGCTTCGTTTGGGATAGCTTTTTAATGCTTCTTAAAGCAACTTTTTAGTAAAATTTTTGTACTAAAAATTTGCTTTAATAAGCAGTTAGAAAGCCGTTCCAAATGAAGCCTAAGTGTATGCCCATGAAAAAAAAAAGTGATTCTAGATTATGCTCTTATAGTATACTTTGAATTGTTTAAAAGTGAAAGTTTAATGTTTCGTTTGGGATGACTTTCTTACTGCTTCTTAAAGCAGTTTTCTAGTACAAAAATAAAAAATTTTTCTACTATAAAACTGCTTTAAGAAGCAGAAAGAAAGCTGTCTCAAACAAAATCTAAGGGATTTATTTTTCTGAATTGATTGGTCGAACGCAAAGCAAAAAATTGATAGAAAAAATTTAGATTTTAGAATCTTAATGATAATTTTTATAAATATTTATTTATGAGATATAAGTGAAGCAAATTTAGCTTTGTAGTAGAGCTTTAATAGTTGCTCTGCATTAGAGATGACACTAAAGCATAGATATGACTTATCTTGATAAAAAATAAATACAATGTGAGAGTGATAGCATCTTCATCTAATGGTGATGTATAAAAGTATTTCATCATACTTTATGCTTATTATTTGCATAAAAAGTTCAAAATATTAAACATATAGTATCCATAAATGGCTTCAATCCTTTAGATAATTAATTATTTTATATACATATTAATTAATGTATGTTGTTGATGATGTCATGTGTTAACATACTTCATATTATGGCTATGCGTCAAGCAATAAAATATGTTAATTCTTATGGGAAAATAACCTCAGCTTCATTTGAGATAGTTTTCTTGCTGTTTTGTAAAATTATTGTAAAGAAAATAAAATTTTAAAACTATTGTAAAAAATAATGATCATATAAAAATTATAATGATGATTTGAAAAATAAAATAACAAGAAAATTATTCCAAACAAAACTTTAGTCTAGATCCTCAGTTCCAAGTATGTCAAGTTTTGTTGAATCTATGCTTCAATTCAAACGAGGGATGCAGAAGTCAATGGCTATTGTAATGTTCTTTATGGCTAGCCTGCATTCTACCACACAACCAGTCAAGTTTTTACCCAGAAAATACTTAAAAATGTCCAAATGATCATTATAATCATTCATTTAAGTCAATACATGCTCAATAATACTGTCAAGCCACATAATTATCTCTCACCACCTTCTCGTATTCTGTGTTTTACTTATATCTAACAAGTTGTATTGTCTATATTTATATAATGTGTTGAAAATATGTTTCTATCTTACAAGCATTCCTCATCAGTCAATTATAGCTGCTCTGGTTTCATTTGGGAGGACTTTTTAATTGCTTTTTAAAGCAGCTTTTTAGTACTTATAAAGTTTAATTTTTTACTAAAAAACTGCTTTAAAAAACAGTAAAAAAACCGTTCTAAATGAAGCCTATATCTTTCTCCATGCATAATTATAATCACAATAGTATAAAATAATGTAAAGTCAGCACTGTAGGTATAATATAAGAGTATCAAATATTTTCATATATACCTGAACATCAGAGGTGTCATCATCAAGTCGATACTCGTGCATGATCCAGTCAGTCTTGAGGCCATGAGGTGCTCTTCCAGTGTAAAAAACTAGTGTTTTCCTCATTCCAATCCTCTTTGAATTGCTAAGATGAATGGCTTTATCTCTTCCTGTAGCCTTCCAGAATCCAGCAGTAGTTGCTCGATTGGTTCGAGTTCCTGTAGGGTACTTCTTGTCTTTGTGACTGAAGAAATACCATTCATTTTGAGGGCCACTTCCAATTCTACATTTATCTGTTTTCTCATGAAAATTGCAAGCTAGAAAGTTTAGTTACAATTATCTCAGAAAAATAATATGTAATGAAGGATTATTTACTTTCTTTTCTATCTTATGACACTAATTATAAAGGGAAAATTAGGTTTCAATTAACTGTAGCTATGTCTATGAAACCTTTTCCATGTTTTACATTATTTAAAATGAATACCTAATTTGCTGAATAAATTAATTATGTAAAAAATATTTAATTTTTTTAAAAAATAATACACTTATAAATTATTAATTCTTAATTATTAATAATAAAGAACCTACACTTAATAATCTACACTTAATAGATTTTGATCGAGTTGAGTATGAAATGGCTTATTTGTCTTCTTAGAGAATTTTTATTTGGTGTGGACCTGGACGTAGCTCTACATCCGGAGTCCAATAAAATCGAGTCACTTGGCATGCACACGTGCATATTAATTTTTATTTCATTTTTCTTTTTTTTTTTCTTGCCAGCCCGACCAACCTGGCCCAAAATATTCCTGTTCAAATTTAGGCGTTTTAATTGGCGCTCTTTTTTTAAAAGAAATACCTCGAACTTCTATATTTTTTAGGATTTAAGCTCAAAATATATTTTGATAGTTGCTGAGAAAGAAGAAACCTGGAAAAGCCGGTGAAGATGAAGATGAAGACTGGTTTGGAGGAAGAAAAGCCTTCTAAGAGCGAAGGCAACCACCTTTTGACCAATTCTTCATTGCTAAGGTCCATCAGGTTCTATTCCTTCTGCAGAAACCTATTAAGCATTATGATATATTTGAGAAGTCAATAGTCGGTAGGTGAACAATACAATGTCAATATTGACGTCGAATTGTTCCCCTACGCCAAAAAACCCTCGCTTGAGAATTTGTCAAAGAAGAGCAAGAAAGAGGAGAGAAGCGCTTGAAAGAGGAGAGAGATGATTACCTTGACAGAAAGGAAAAATTATTCCGTCAGGTTACCTGACGTAGAGATACATCAGGTAGCTTATAATACGTCGCCACGTGCACTTACTCTTTACCGTACGGCCCAATGACCCGACCCGGAGCGGACCTGAGAGTTGGCGTAGCTCGGTATTGCTAGGTATTGATCCATTTTGCTCGACAAAAATGAAAAATACTATTCTGTGAAGAGCAATACCGAGTTCTTTTAGGTATTACTCGGTATTGCTCGGTATTAATACCGAGTTCTTTTAGGTATTGCTCGGTATTGGTCTTTATAGAACGATATTTATCGTTATTGCCAAGCAATACCGAGTAATACCTAGCAATACCGAGCAAATACCGAGCAATACGCGAACATAGTAATCCCGGATTCGGTCCGAGTCGGGTAGTCGGGCCGCGCGACAAAGAATAAGTGCACGTGGCGATGTATTATAGGCTACCTGATGTATCTCTACGTCAGGTAACCTGACGGAATAATTTTTCGACAGAAAGAGTGCGAAAGAAGAGAAAAATAAAATTTGATTAGGAATGAATTATGCTATTTTAAAATTTTACTATATTTTAGTGTAAAATGAATTTTTCGTTGTAGATGTCCTAACACGGTAAAAATTACAAACAGCTCCAAAAATTTTCCGTGCAATTATCAAAAGTACGTTTCGCCATCTATTTAAAGTAGTAAGATGTGTCTGATTTTCCCTTTATTTATTACGTAACAAATAAGATATTTATGAAAGTTTATTCAGTAAACATAGATTTAGCTATTTTTATTAAGATTCTTTTCTTCTACTCAATCAATCGGCTCTGTTTTCTGTTAAATGGGCTGAGAAATTCTAACTAAACCTTACTTATCATAAAACGGCCGAACAGAATATTATCACCTTCTTCTCGTCCTCTGTTCTTCTCCTTCGCCGCCACCGAATCGCCATTTCTGCTCTCACTTCTTCCTTCGAGAATCCTCAGCAAAAATCCTACTCACTGAAAGGAACTCAAAGCCACTTACAGTACTGTAAAACCACCACAATTTCCTCCCCAATGACTCCCCTTACTCCTAGTTTCGCCCTAACCCTACTTCTCACACTCATTTCTTTCTCAGGTGCTCTCTCTCTACCTCTCTCTACCTTTTTTGGTCTATGCCCTCTCTGTATTTCTCCTCTCAATTGATGTTCTTTGTGCTTATTTCCTGCAGATCGGGGAGTGAAGAGCGCGACATTCACTTTGGTGAACAACTGCGGCGATACCATCTGGCCCGGAATCCTCTCCAACTCTGGCAGCCCGTTACTGGAACCGACCGGCTTCGCCCTCCCTTCCGGGACATCCAGTTCACTCTCCGCGCCCACCGGATGGTCCGGCCGCTTCTGGGCGCGCACCGCCTGCTCCTCTGACGCCTCTGGCCGCCTTACCTGCGCCACTGGCGACTGCGGTTCCGGTTCCGTAGAATGCGGTGGTGCAGCCGCCTCTCCGCCCACTACACTAGCCGAATTCACCCTCTCCTCTGCCGGCGGGAACGATTTCTACGACGTGAGTCTTGTGGATGGCTATAACCTCCCGGTCGTAGTTACGAGCAGCGGCGGGGTAGGCGGCTGCGAGATGACTGGCTGTGCCGTGGATCTGAATCCGATGTGTCCGATGGAGCTGAGGGTGGGGGAAGGAGAAGCCTGCCGCAGCGCCTGCGAGGCATTTGGGCAGCCGGAATACTGCTGTAGTGGTGAGTACGGGAGCCCGGCTGCTTGCCGGCCGACGATGTACTCGGAGATGTTCAAGTCGGCGTGTCCGAGGGCTTATAGCTACGCTTATGATGATGCCAGCTCTACCTTCACCTGCGCCGGAGGTGATTACTCCATTACTTTCTGCCCTGAAACGCCCCAGAGGTAGGTACCGCTACAGACAAGTAAAACAAAGTAGGATAGGGATTGATTAAAAGGTGATTTGAAGTATGATATTTGTAGATGATTGCGATCTTCTTTGCTCATTTCATAACTTGAAAGCGACCACTTCCATATTTTTCTTTTCCTTCACTAGCAGCTTCAAGATTGCTCATTTTAGATCTAGTTAGGTCTGATCAGAAACCCCCAAAATCGGTTACTTAAAATTTTTTGTTTGATTATTAGCCTAGAATGACTTACTCCAGCTTGGATTACAATGAGCTCAAATTGTTATATAGATCTGGAAACAAAATTGTTAGCGGTAAAAATTTCAAGTTTTTACCTATTAAACTAGCTGAGAACCACTCAAAATTTATCTGAGGTGAGCGAGAATATTATTAGATTTACACTGAGAATTTGATGTTCTTCATCAATAGAGCTCAAATCTCCATTCAAATCTAAAGGTATTTCTCTCCCCTGACATGAATTTTCCTCGATATGTCTTTCCTGTATTCTATTGATAAGATTTGGTTGGTGGCAATATTTAAAGAATAGTTAGTTCGCCTGTCAATTAAATGATTCTATCTTTGCTCATCACTTTTGTCGGCTTTAGTTTTCAGTTGACTCGAACTGATTGATCTTTGAAATGGATTATGATTTGTGTCTGCTCTACTGGAAAGATTGTATTTTTTTCTGATTAAAATTTAAGTAGAGTGAATTTCAAAACTGTGATAAATTATTAATTAAAATTTATATTAAATTCATTTCAAAATTTTCATCATGATCTAATTGAAGAAAGTTGTATTGTGGTCCTTTTTCTTCAACAGTTTTCTGTTTCTACTGAAAATTCAACTAATGCTGATAGTGACTTCATTAAATATGAATCAAAGAGTTGCAGCGTTTAGATCTATTTCTGTTCTGCAAGAATATAGCCTATGAAGCTGCCCTTCCGTTTGTGTGTATGATTTCATTGGATTCTTACATAATGTTTTAGAGTCTCATCTGCAATCTTATTTGTTTCAAATAGCATCTTCTAAAGGAGAAAAAGTGAGGGGAAAAGGGAAACTAAAGAAAACAAGGATAAGGGGAAAAAAAAAGGCTCTGGTCATTTCTTCTTTTGCTTTGTTCTTTCTCCACTGATGTGTATGGTTAGCGGTTGTGGTTGTTGCTCCTATAATTGAAATATTAGAAAACCAGAAAAGCTTTTCAGCATCAGATTCCTATTTCTAGATTTGCAAAATGTAGCCATTTACCCATTTCTAGAATCGCAAAATGTAGCCATTTACCCACCGAGGCTTAGGGTGGTTGGTCGGCGAGCACAGTTGGGATCCCCCATTCCGGATTCGAATCCCCCCCTCTACTACGGCCTCGCCTCTTCAGTGGGGCAAAGCAAGTGTGAGCCCGATACCGGTGTATGACCTCGCTAGGTTCCACTGAGGGATTAGTTACGCCGCCACGTGCTCCCTTTGGAGTGTCAGCGTGTAGATACCCAAACAACAACAACAACAACAACAACAACAACAACAACAACAACAACAACAACAACAACAACAACAACAACAACAACAACAACAACAACAACAACAACAACAACAACAACAAGCCTTTATCCCACTACGTGGGGTCGGCTACATGAATCAATTTTGGTAACGTGTAGATACCCGTTACCAAAAAAAAAAAAAAAATGTAGCCATTTGAATACTTGAAAAACTTGATTCCATCTTAAATTAACCTTTTTTTTTGTTTTTTTTGTTTTCTGCATATCAGTCAGAAATCTACTACAGCCTTCCCTTCTCCGCCAAATGAGGCAACAGGAGTGGTTGTGGAGGAGGATTCATGGTTTGCGAGCTTGGCCATGGGAGACTCTGTGGCAACCTCTGCAAGGAGAAAAGCTTCCATTGTTGCAGTAACTATTACCTTTTCTGCTCTTCTCTGTGTTCTGCTATTGTGAGAGATAAGGCGCAGAGGTGTCCTTCGTCCCTGAAAAGAAGGACGACTTGTTTGTAATCTATATGAACAGAATGCAATTTGTTTCTTTCTTTAGGTAGGTTTTAGTGAGAGACAAGTTGTGGGTGTATATCTTTTGTCCATGGAATCTCTCCGTGATGATTATTGTTCCTTTATTTACGATTCCCTTTAATTCACTGTAGCTGTTTTTATTGAAATGAAAGCTTTAGCTCAATAGTAGAAATTAAACTCAATATAATTACATCAGTTACATTGTGGCTTGGGTATGTTAAAATCCCGAGTCACCAAGCCAATTGCCAATCAGCTAGAAGTATCTATTCTTAGAAAAATTATTTTGTGCGGACACTGGGCGTCGTTCGGATGTAAATCAGAGTACGCTACATCACCTCTTTGTGGTGTACTGCGACTGTGTACCTGTTATGCATCAGATGATGTGGCGCGCTTTAACTTGCCTCTGAACGATCTAGTACATGTACAGAATAATTTCTCAAACACTCCTTTTCTTATAGAGATGAATAGGCTTGGAAACAAGAAATAGAAGGGGGAGTCCACCAACAACTTAGCGAAAAACTATTTAGGGAAAAGAGAGAAAATTTGCTCATGAGATGGCTTGTTTATTATAAAAGAGAGAAAATGATTATATTTTAATCCATTATTATAATAAAATGAGAAAAGGAATGATAAATTATAAGGCAAATAATAATGAATTATTTAATATAAAATAGTGAGGTAATTTAAGATATTTTTTATAACTTTGTATGTAAAATTTTGAATTTTAATATATTTAAGTATATTTTATACTACTATTTTTTAAATGAGTTGGCACAAAAGCTAAGAAATTGAGTTAGGGTTGGCTGAAGCTTGGCTCATTTGCTGATTGAGCTCAGCTCATGAGCCATTTATCGAGCCAGCTCATGAGTCAACTTAACACACTTGCACCTCTAATTTTAATCAAATCGAAGTATGATGATACTTGTGTCCTGCCATTTATGAGCCATGCCTAAACTTGACCAATTAACCCTAATTTTTATACTAGCAGAACACTATTTTAAGAAGCAATAAAAAAACCGTCCCAAATGAAGCCTTAGTTTATTTTAGGTTTATGATATTGCATATTTAACTTTCTTTTGTTAAAACTTTTGTTGTTATCATATAAAAGCTACTTATAAAGGCAACCGAATCATTAAGGTTGAAAGTTTGTATGACAAATTAAAATGCCCATCAAAACTACTTCTTGGTAATAAAAAATTATTTTAGAAAGCAATAAAAAAACTGTCACAAATGAAATCTAAATTTATAATAAGCTCGAGTAAACCAGTATCGTGAGTATTGAAAGCAAAAAACTTCTTTAAAGGCAAATTATGTTATCCAACCAAATGAGAAAAATATGAAATCTCATTAGTTATTCCACCTATAAAATTTAGAATTTATTTGGGACAAATTTCTTACTGAATTTTTAAGTAAAAAAAAATTAAATTTTTTATAAGCATAAAGAAAACCGTCCCAAACGAAGCATCAATGAACCCAAACTTTTTATAACAATAAGGACTATTATATAAATTATAGCTGGTGCTCCATAAATAAGGTGCACATGGATTATTTAATTTTTCATTGCACATTTATTTGCACAAAGTTAAACTATTTAAAAAAAAAAAATCCATTAATAAATGACATTTGAATCCTCATAATTTTTTTCTTAAGAGGAAATTTTATAATATTCATAACAGTTTTAAAAATTATATTTGTACCATAACAGTTTTAAATGTAATTTTGTAGTTAAACTGCTATCTTTCTCAAAAACAGTGCTAAGGAATCTCATAATTAATTTTGTAAAAAAGCTTAAGTCAAGAAGGCCATTATATTGAAGCCACAAAGATGACCGTACATCTTTTTGAAGTGTGGATGTATGATATAATATATAAATTGACAATTGTGTATCAAAAAGAAAATCTTCATTAGACCATTGGAAATGTAACGGAAAATCACTGTTTGCCATTCTTCCGTCGCTCCAGTTGAGCGGCAATTCTGTCGTTATTTTATTGCTGGTGAACAGTGCGATATCAATATTGACGTCGCATTGTTCACCCGTTAAATTTTTATGTGTCAAAGGGATTTGCCCGCAAAATGAAGAAAAACGGTTACGAGAAGAAGAAGCCAGCGAATTGGAGTTCGATTGGAGTAGAATTACGGCATTTTGGAGTTTTTCTTTATTTTGCATTGGAAAATGTAATTTCCGTTGGAGATGTCCTTAGTAAAGAAATGATACAATTTGAAGAAAATTTCCTGATTAGTTTAAATAATATTTATTTATTTTTTATGCTCCAAAATTTTTTGATAATTTTTGGGAGCTCAATGGATGACTTTATTAATTCCGATATTCTAAACGGGCTACACAACTACTATATTTTTGTTTTATTTTATGTATAGTGAATTCTTTAGGATTTAAGCTGTAATCCAAATATATAAAAAGATGATAAATGGTCGACGAGTGGAAAAATTATTAGGTGCGGAGTGTGTATCGTCCGCACAAATATGGGTACCTAGCGGTACCCAGCAGTACCGAGTGTCGGTACCTAGTGCAGAATAAGGCTTGTGCGGACAGTTCTCCCCGTCCGCACTCCGCACCTAATAATCTGGGCTGAATTTACGTAATTTTCTCCACTCAAGATCGCTTTACAAAAAATATTAGAGCTTCTCACCTTAGTATTCTTTTCTCTCCCTCTATTTCTATTTCTTTGTTTTTTAACCCTAGTTGTGGGTGCACAAACAATTCTAATTCAACTATTCTAAATTTATTAGGGTGCCCTAATATTTTTAAATTTAAGTTAATTTATTATGGAGAGAACTTAATTATAATTATAATTTAATAATGTCTAAATTTACTTTAATGAATTTAAATTTTCTTTAATTATTTTGAAACTAAGCGTGATTACTTTGAAATGCTAAACTTAACAATACTCTTTAAAAGACTAGGTTGAATTTACTTAATTCCCTTAATTAATAGGCTAAGCCTATTCACTTAGGTTTCATTCGGGACAGTTTTTTGTCACTACTTTTTCATTGATTTCAGAAAAATTTTGAATTAGAAAGATGCGATAAAAAATGGCAAGAAAATTATCTTAAACGAAATCTTAATGTCGTTGGCCACTCAATTTATCGCTTGACGTGCTTTAGTTATAAATTAAGGTAAGTTAGATTTAAAATTATATGGCTTAAGGGATGTAAAAAGAGATTGTTTAAATAGGATTAGAAGCTTAAATTAATTTATGCCTGATTTAAGCCCTAATTAAACATTTTCCTAATCCATCATAGAATAATTTTTCTTACATGGGCTAGAAATCATTTTGCCTTAAAAAAGGAGAGATTGTTATGTGTTGAGTCCAGATACATAGATCTATTCAATTTTCTGACTGTGAACAATTAAAAGCACAGTTACTGTTCACCACTGTGCTTTTAATATTTCATAGTCACAAAACTGAATGGTTCTCTATATCCAAACTCCGCTGGTAATAATCTGTCGAGAGAGAGAGAGAAAGAGAGAGAGAGAGTCTCTTGTAAGTAAGTAGTAACCATAGGGAAAAGAATATAATTAATTATGTCCCCATAGAAATTTCTATTAGAGCCCAAAAAGCCTATTAATTAGAAAAATGGCAAACTCTAACAACAAAAAACACAAAAAAAACCCCTAAGTTTTACCATTTTTAACCAAAGCATAATATTAGTAAATTAATTTAATAAAGAAATAGTCAAAAGTATAATTTATTTTCAATATTATACTCAAATACATTAAAATTCTTCTCATCACATCTATGTTTTAGATTAACATTTTTTATTTTATCATTATTTTTTTTACTCTTTTTAATTATTTTTTTGTCAAAAAATTATTTTCTACAATAATTTTTGGAAAAGCTGCTTTCTCCACAATTACTTTATAACCACTTTTATAAAACATTATCTTCATTCCAAATAGACCCTAAGATAAATTTAATTAAGATGAATAATCATCATTAAATCATTTTTATATAAGCATAATATAAATTTATCTTAAAACAAATTTAATACTTATTAAATTTATCATAATTGAATTTTAATTCCAAATAATCTATACTAAAAATCTCTTTGCTATATACATAAATGTTGCAATTTTGAAATGAAGATGATAAAAAGAGAGAGATGCAGTTCATTTTGATTTGTTGGTTGGGAGTTTTGAATAACAACAAAGAAGTCTTAAGTTAGAAGCTTGCGTATATTATATGTGAATAAATTTGTCTTAATTGAACAAAATATCTCTAAGGGAAGAAATCGTTCTATGCGGACACCGAACAATCTGGAGACCAATCAGAACTCGCAACATCACCCGATATTGAGCGATACTGAGCACCGGTGCTGAGCAAAAAAAAGTGATGTGGCGCATTCTGATTGATCTCCAAACACTATTCGGGTGTCCGTACAGAATAATTTTTTTCCTATGCGAGAGATATCCCGTAGATGTTTCAATTATACTCATATATTTTGGTCTTTATAATTATTTTAATTAATATATATTTTCTTTTAAGAAAATACAATAATTAAACAAAATAATTTAATTTAGAATAAAAATTGTGAAATTTATGCACCCACTCTTTGAGATAGATAAAGAAAAGAAGCTGAGATCGCCGAATATGCTTTATTTTTGTGCTTGCGTCGGCTCCTCTTCCCCACACCGGTCGCTAAAGTATCCCCACGCGCTCTCCATTTCCTCTGTATCTACTTTTTTGGGCTTTCATTTGGATCTCGATCGCGATCTCGATTTTCGTGGAGTGGAAGGGAAGGGAAGGTAAGGTGGGGAGAGAAGAGATAAGCGAGGGTTGGAAATGATGGAGTTGGAGCTTTACCAGGAGCTTATCCTGGCCGCCGTCTTCTCCGTCCTAATCGCCTTTCTGATCGGGAAGATCGCCGTTGTTGGAGCTAGCGAAGGCGAACTCATGGAGGACGTTTCTGATTCCGCCGATTGTGCGGATTCCCTTTCTGCTGGTGGAAAATTGGAGGGATCGGAGTTGAATGAAGCTGAGGCGAGCGGTGTTCGTTCCGGGAGTGAAGAGGAGATTGTTGGTGTGTCGAAGGAAAAGAGTGATGCTGGGACGGACATGATGACAGTCGAGGAGGAGTTTGATGGGGAGATGAAAATGCCTGTGGTGGTGGAGAGTTTGAGGGAGGAGGTCGAGCGGCATGTAGTGGGTACGGAGATTAAGATGGAGAGGGGAAGTGAGGGCGAGGGTGAGGAGGAGGGATCGCTGCTTCACGGGGAGGACGAGTGGGAAGGGATAGAGAAGAGCGAGGTGGAAAAGCTTTTTGGTGTGGCTACTGAGTATGTTCGTAGCGCGAGTGGCGCAGTTGCGTTGGCCAGGTTGAGCAGTGATGTGCAGTTGGAACTCTACGGGCTTAACAAGATTGCCACGGAGGGGCCCTGCTTTGAGTCGCAGCCACTGCCATTGAATTTCTCTGCTCGAGCCAAATGGTACTCTGCAATTTTCTGTTTTTCCTCCCTTTTGGTTGGCTTGATTGCTTTAGGTAACATTGATCGGCGGCAGCATAATTTTGCTTTTTTTATTGTAACAAATGTGAGGTATTTCTTGATGATTAAGCTAGCTTTGGTACCAGATGAGAATTAGGAAGATATGGATGGAATACTTCTGCAAACAATAAACAGCTGGAGAGTTGACAAATTTAGGATTTTTGAGCTGGATAATTAGTGCCAATAGATGAATGGGAACCAGTTGAAGTTTTATCCAATGTATTATACTGCTGCTCAACTAAAATGGATTATGGAAGTTATTTATTTGGTAATGCCAAAGATGACTAAATAAAGTAGAAATAGGAACTAGTTGCATGCCCCTTGATGGTTAAAAATACTTGAACAATAAAGTGTGATTGAAGAACTCGTTTGATTGCTTAGATTTTTGATATTTTAGAGCAATAAAATCTAATATTGCATTGAAGTAAGAATTCAAACTTAAGTTCATAAACAATAAAAATGAAATTAGAGTTGAATAGGTATATGTGATAGTACTTATCCATAACGGATAGAGTATTTCATTTGACTGAACTCGGTTGGGTATCCAATCCAGATATATGAGATGGTATCTGCAACAATCTAAACATTACTTGTTAAATGCTTACAAAAAAATTGAATGGTCATGCTCATTTGCATAGTTCTGTTGGCCACAATCACAGAATGCGGACTTCATGTGTTAAAGTTGTGATGGAGCCTGTGAGAGGGAACCCACTTGAGGACCTCCACCTGACAGAAGTCATCAAATGTGAATCTTCAAGAGCTTTCCCGTTTGCCAAACTCTTCCAACAACAGCTTTGACTTATTGGCATCCTCGTTGGATCCCACTGGTACTCCATTTCCTGCAACCTTCTTAGACCTTGGTGATGGATGAGAGGGAGCAGGAGAGAATCATTGGGAAGGAGAGTGGATAAGAATTGAGAGCTCAAAACTTAAGGGCATTTGTATGTTACTTATTAAATCTTGAGTTATAAATCAAATCGATTGTTGATCGAATTTTCATTAAGGTATTGGAAACATTTTTGGTATGCATCTACACCATATAAAATTTCGAAGAACATTTATGTGCTGCTTATTAAGCCTTGCTATAATGAAGTAGATTTTATAAAAGAAAATATATAATATATTTATATGTTTATATGTTGGTATTATGAAGGAAATTTAACTAGCCTACTTTAAGTTTTCATACTATAAGTAATTTAGAGTGGTTGATTATATTCTATAAAAAAGAAAAAGTGGCTATAAAGCTTTCCTTCTTCAATTTCCCAATGGGTACTTATATACAAAACTACCTAGAAAATAATTGAAAATTACTAATTACATAGATTTAAAAATTAAAACTATTGTCCAAAACTTTCCATCTTGGCTGCTTGAGGAGATAACAATTTGTGCCACTTTCCTTTCCACTTAAAGCTCATGAATTTTGGGCACTCTTCTTTCCATGTTAAGCATATGAATCTATGACAAATGATTTCCTTTATTTCATGAATATATGGTTCATTTTATTCCTTTTTTGCCAACCCTTATTGATGCAGAGCATCTTATCTAAAATGTAACTTAGGAATAGATTATCATTTAAGAGCTATTTTTAAAGCTTTTTTTGAAGATTCTATTACCAATTATATATATAAGCTGCTATCAGAAGTATGGAATGAATGAATATTTTTAGATTTTAACAGTTTTTACTGTCCTTGATGTTCTTGCTCTTTGGAGCAATTACTGTGATGTTTCTTCATTGATCTCCCCATATCAATTGGTATCAGAGCCTTGGGCTTATGCTACATCAACCATTGATGTCAATCGAGGTTTTAGATGCTTTGGAAAGACTATGGATGAAGATAGGTTTTCGACGGAAGCCTCCACCAGTTGGAAACGACAAAGCAATTCTCCCTCGATGGCAACCATACCATTGGACATCTACACGCACGGTCTGCTTGTCCGTGACCAAATTTTGTCTGCGACCTTGGCCGCATTGCTCTCAATCAACCCTCATCGTCGACCTACGGTCCGTGCCTGTTCTTGTCCAGTTTGCACGAATGTCCACGCCTATCGTCCACGCGCTCTTGACAGTCGGCATCCATCAGTTCGGCACCTGATCTCGAAACCTGTCTGCTGCCTTGCTCCAGCACAAAATTGCACTTCCAAGTGCCTCGGTCCACCTCCGCTCATTCCACACCACTGTCCCTACTCCCCCAGTTTGCTCCGAGCTGTTGTTTACGACCAGCCCGCCACGCGCGACCAACTTTTAGCGCTCAATTCCGCTCCCTCGCCTTAACCGCGTCCACCTGCCCCTCTCCAGCTTATTTTTGCGCTTTAGATCGCAATCAACGAACTAGAGCCCCCTTCCGTCCCGTACTCTGGTTTCTTCAGACAAGAGTAGTTTGATTCAGATCATTTTATCTAAAATGTATCTCAGGAATAGTTTATCATTTAATAACTATTTTCTAGACTTTTATGGAAGTTTCCCTTACTAATTATATATGTATGCTGCTATATGAAGAATGGAATGGAATGAATATTTTTTGGATTTTAACAGTTTTTACTGCTCTTGATGTTCTTGCTCTTAGGAGCAATTACTTGTGATGTTTCTTCATTGATCTACCCAGATCACTTATACTTTCAACACTATCTATCAAATCTGATTTTAGATCTATCATTTCAAATTTTGCTGAAGCTGTTTTTGAATATATGGCTATAAATTCATTTGGCAAATTTGTTTGCAAGTTGACTGCCCCTGTTGGAACATACAAAGTGAAAACTAACCCACTTTTTTGTTTATCTTTAATGATGTGTCTATCCACTTCCATATATTTGATTTGATCATTATGGTTTAGATTGTAAGCAATATTGATGAGAGACTTATAATCACAGTATATCTCTATCAGCCCTTTTCATTTGATTTTTAACTATTATAATATAATTTTAATAAATAGGAGTTCACATATATCCTGTGTGATTGCTTTGAATTCAAATTCAACACTTGAACTTAGGACAACAGGTTATTTCTTGCTTCACAATATTACAAAATTTCTCCTAGTAGTGTGCAATATTCCGCATAGTTGGCTTCAGTACAACCTTCAATTAATAGGATTTCATATTTTTTATATATGATCTCTTTTCTACAATTTGGTTTTAACTACATGAGAACTATGTAAGCAGCTTAATGGTGAGTTTCCTTTGGTTTATGCAAAAATTAACTTATGGGACTTGTAGTAAAAGTGATGTTAGGATGGGTGTCAGATAGATCAATTTTCAAACTAATTTTTGATGTTATCCGATGTCAACTTTTGTTTCTTTTTCATCTATGTTTGGTCTCTGATTTGGTTTAGTTGGTGTTTCTCATAGGTTATAATCCGTCATTTTTTTCTCTCAAAAAATCCATAACATATTTCTGTTGAGAGAGAAATATTTATCTATAACTGCGTCACTTTTATACCCAATAAGTAGCTTGCTAATCTCTTTGATATTAAAATTTGAGGCAAATTTTTTCCTAAGTAGTTATTTATTTTTATTGTCATCATCTTTAACAATGATATCATTAACACAATAAGGATTGAAAATTTTCTGCCAGTGGAATGCTTTATGAAGAGTTATTATTTTTTGTTTTGTTTATATCCTATTCCATAAATTGCTTTTATACTATCAAACTAGCTCTTGTGGATTTTTAAGATTATATAGTGCCTTTTTTATTCTAACACCGTTCGTTTGGTGAAAGAGCTATTAAATTTTGGTAGAGGATCCGTATAAACTTCTTCAGTGTCCTCATATCATAAGTCATTTTTTACATTATATTATCACATAAACCATCCACAATTAGCAACTAGAGAAATTTTGATGCGAATTATATTCATTTTAACAATAGGAGCAAAAGTTTCTAGGTAGTTATTTCATTGGATTTACCATTCCAAGCTTTTATCTGCTTTTTATTTTATTTAGAAAGTTCACATGTATCTTATAATTTTTTTTGGTAGCTCAATGATCTCTCATGTATGATTTTTTTTTTCTAGGGCATTCATCTCTTTGTTAATGACATCCTTGAAGTTCTTATTTTCTAAAATCTCAAATGTGGTTTATGATATTTTGATGATGTTGGAGCTGATATTTGTAAGGAAGGCTTTATGTGTAGGAGAAATTTTTTGAAAATTATGTGTAATGAGTTATGAGATGCAGGGGAGAATGCGTGGCAATAGGTTGATCATTGTTATGAGAGTTACTTGATTGTGGTTCTAAAACTTGAGCTTGTTGGAAATTGTAGATGGGCCTGCTTCTTGTATAAACTTGAAGGGATTTAGTGATAGAAGTAATGTATTATTCTTGTGTTTGTGTAATTACGATGCCAAGAGAGAAGTTATTAAGTTCATCAAACTTTTCCTTCATTTGATTTTTTTACCTCTAAAAATAAGTCAAAGTAAAGAAATTCTATTTTTCATCAAAAGTGTGTCTTGAAGTTAAGAATTTTTTAGTGGTTGAATGATCACATTTATATCCTTTTTGAGTGGACAAATATCCTACAAAAACACCTAAGTTTCCTAGGATTAAGTTTATCACATTGTTATTTGTGGATGTGAACATATGACATTTGGGCGAATTTTTTTTGAGAAAAAATTCAGCAAGAAAATTCAGGTGTTTGAAATCTATTACTCTTGAAGTTATTTCATTAATGAGATGTGTGGACGTTATGGCAGCTTCTTCCCAATATTTTTTGGAAACTTAATTTTATAAGAGAAGAGTCTTAGTAACTTCTGAAGTATACTAAAAAAAAAAACTTCTGAAATATATATTTTTTTTGTCGCCTCATTTTATTTTGGAATGTTAGATCAAGATAATTGATGAATAATACATTATTTATTAAGAAAAGAATGTATAATTTTGTTAAAATATTATTGAGCATTATTATTCTTGATTTTTTTGACACTGACACGGAATTAGTTTGTTATCATATAGAA